TGTTCGCGAACAACGAGCCCTTTTGACAGCCCTAGAAGCTACCCACGCTCGAAGATTTTTTCTCTCCTCATTTCTCCTCATTCTTTCTTGCTTTCTTTGTCCTCATCTAATATACATGGCATAACTCAAGAAAACATTGCATCAAGACTCCGCACGAAGAACTACGTGCGAAGTCCAATGAAATCACGCCACGTGGCGATGACAGAAAAAAAAATGTCTGATAACACAATGAAATATTCTTTCCGTGTTATTTATGTATTATTGTGTTATTCAAGTGTTACTGATGTGTTATTGTGTTATTAAAACACAAAATATTCCCAGAACACAATAACACTTGAATAATATACAATAACACTTGAATAACACCGAATAACACGGGGAAATATTCTCGTGTTACCGGGCCGCTTTTTTTTACTGTCACGTTCACGTGGCGTGATTTCATTGGACTCGGCACATAACGTACAAAGTCCTGATGCAATATTTTTTTGCATAACTTAGGGATTAATGTGTTTTAACTTATAAAATTACTTGGTGAAATCACCGGTCTAAATGTCTTGTAATAAATTTCTAAAACTCATTAATTTAAAAATCCATGTGACAAAATTAAAATTGATGCTTATTTATCCACTAATTAATAATATTAAATTTTAGGACTATAATTAATTTAAATAAACCCTTAGCAAATTAGAATATGTAAAAAGTAAATTGGAATGTTATAGTGGGATAATTAGGGCTTAGTGGTGCTTTGTTTTCTTTGCTTGGGGCTATGAAACGTTGCAATGGTTTTTACAACTCGATTAAGTTTGATTTCTATTAATTATTTAATTAATGAAATATTATAATTATGACAATGCTTGAGATTATTTAAATTTTTTATTTAGTGCTTAACGAACTTCTATTAACTGCTGAAATATTGTCAGACATCATTATTCCATTTAAAACTCAATATTGGTGAGTTTTAAATAGCTACTAGTCAAATAATTAGTTAGCAAGTTAAAGTAACACTAGTTTAGTTTCTAATTATATCAATCATTTAATTTTAGTACTATAAAGATTTAATTAAAATGATTGAGCCTTTAAGGTTTCATTATAATAATCAAACAAATTACTTAAAATAGATTTCACTAAATATTCAAATCATTTTAAAAATAAGTAAATTTTAATTAAATTTTCAAAAAAAGATGGCAAAGTGGGAGGCCAAATATAGCATTTTGTGTGCATGGGGAGTCGAGCACGACAAATTATACCATGGCTATGAATTGCTTATCTTTTTCTCCCTAAGTGACGTGCAAGGCTAAGGTCTCAACGCTCCCTTCTCGACTGAGAAGCTATAGAGCAGTTCCGAGGTAGAGGATAGCCACGAAGTATCAAGTTCATCTTGTCAAAAACATACTTAAATAAGATATTAGTGAAACTCCTTGAATCGATGAGTATGACAGTCGCGAACTACCTATTTTCATCTTGTAAAAATATACTTGAATAAGATGTTATCGAAACTCCTGGAATCGATGATGATGTTTCCATTTTGATAGGTGGCAATTAAGGTTGTTGTCATGATTGTGCCATTATATGAGTTCCCATTGGCAAGTAGGTCCTCCTCTGTATAGATGATAGATAACATGTGAATGGCTTGATGAGAACGTCAAAAATAATTCTCCAAAGGAAAGCTACTTAAGGCTAGCTTGGCCGAACGCTTCTACTCCATCACCATCAGGTATTAGAACAATGCTCGCGATGTGGAATGTATGGGTGTGAGCAGACTCAATGCAAGTCTCTTCAGCCAATGGTTTTCCCCATCTATGGGTCACTGGTTTGAGCTACAAACGCAAAACTTCCTCGCTTTAATAAGGTCCTTAATTAAAGTCTAGAAGTGGCAACATTCCTCAATGTAATGACTATGGCTATGATGGTAGTTGCAGTAACTCTATGGATAACAAATATTCTCCTTCCTTCATGGACATAGCTTGCAAACTATGCCTTATTTTGAATGGCCTCCACGATCTCAGCCATGGAGAATCTCAAGGGAGTCTAATGTGGTAGTTGATCAGTAGGGGTAGCGACCTCAGTAGGGGATGATTCTCACCTCTCTTAGCATTGGAGTACCCTTCAAAGGGGAAACCTTTATCTCCTGAAAGTGAATCCTATCTCGGAATATATGTAGTTATATTTTCTCGAATCTCAGCCTCATTATCAGTCATATTGAGCACTTCAGCTTCAGTTATTTATTTAGGAAAAAAATATTTTCCAATTGGTATGGATGAATGTTTTGATCCTCTTGCATTTTCTTGATATTACGAATCATCATCATCTACTAGAGTGGGTGAAAGAGTCCTTCTAACATTTGTGGTCAATTTACATTTTTGTGGTAACGAGGCTACTGGTCGAGGTGGTAACACCCGATCTCTTGTTGTTTGAGCTAAAGTCTCTCTAAACATATTCACCAGTTTCTCATTTAGTTCATTGTTCTCCCGAGTGATGAATTCTTAAGTGCAATCCATGTTATTAATTTCTTCTTTATTACTCGATTTTGCTTCTTGTGCAACTCTTATTCTTCTTTGTGGCAAGATCCATCTCAGCTCATTTTTTAAGAATGTTGAATTCTATTTGATTCATGGGCGATCACACCTCAAGTGTATAGCGAAGGGGCAGAGAATGAACCGAAAAGAAAAAAAAAAAGAGGAAACAAATGCAGTTTCATTTTTTGGGTAACGATTCAACCGAACGTTTGTTTTACATTAACTATGGGTATTTTTCTTAAAAATATATACAAGCTTTGATTACACTCAAATATTCTAGGATGTTTGATAGCTCGAATGTCATTTACTTCCTCGAGTGTATACTTTACATTATCTCTGATGTCTTATCTCCTATTGGCACCATATTTGACCTTTTATCCTCGTCAAGTAACATCGAGTATTTGCTCGGCCGGTCGTCTTAAGTTAAGGTGAGTCGGTAACAAATTTGAAGGACATCTAGGGTCCTTTGTTATATTTTTTGTGATACAAGGAAGTTACTGATATTTCATAAGGGGCGTCGTTTGTTGTACGGTCGCCCATATCAAGATTTTCGTAATCAGACATCTTGCCTAGCAACACATACTCACCCACCAAGATCAAACTGCTTACACCTTACTTGTTTCCTGGATAGGTTCTCTTTGTTCACTAAGCTTGCTTGGACTCTTACCAACCCATCATGGCTATTTTTATCACACAACAACTATAACAATTTGGTATCACAGACTTGTGCTTAAAATGATATTTCATATTTAAGGAGTTGATAATAATAATATTTTTATGTAATGCTAAAAATTTGAGCGTTTTCCATGCACATATAATAGTTCATATGTTAGGTATGTAAAGTACACAAGACTTCTGTAGAATGCATGTAAACCCCCCTAAAAATTCTGCTTTGCAATTAATGAGAGTTTTTTTCATTTCAAAAACAGTTTCTATAAGCTCCTTGATAAATTTTCTTCATGACATAATTTAGTTGTATTATCCTTATGAACATCTAATAAGTTAATTGCATGTCTTTTAGTTATATTATCTAATAGTCTAGTTATATTTTGAGATGATTTCGAGAGGTATGTATTAAGAAAACTCTTACCAAAGAAAACTAATTATCTTCACAACAAACAAAAAAACCTGCAATCAAAGTAGCATCAGTTTAAAGCCAAGTTTATCATACAAATTGCTGCTATTATTTGTTAGCACAGCAGCAGTTTCTTAACAGCTGAAACCGGAAATCCTTCACAAGCCACACACCACACTATATTGGTTCATCTCACAGTAATTATTCAACAAAATAACCAAATCAGAATTTTCTCAGTTTCTGGACCTCTATATTGAGTTTAGATCCTTAGTAAAGCCAGTTAACTGATTACCTTGGTTTATAAACTGGCTGCAATCAATCCCCTTAGCCGCGAAGCTGGAAACAAGCATTGGGAAGATCTTCACAAGCATGATCCTAAACCCAGCTGAGTTGTTTCTGCAGCTATCCTTGGATCCCATTCCCGATCCGTAAGACCCAACTGGAGCACCATCCATGTAGGCTTTGCAAGCCAGAAGAATGTCATGTGCATGTTCGACGAAATGCTCCTTCACATATGCCTCGAAATGCTGAAACATTTAAATGAAAAACATAAGCAAAAGTTTATCTTGCTTTTAAGTATTCTAATGAAGCCATTTGAGATCTACAAACTGACCTTAGGTGGCTGCTTCATGATGTAAATCATGGATTTGAGGGTGAGGAGGAAAGCATTTTCGTTGTAGTTTATGGAGTTTCGCTCCGCCTCAGCTCTACCGATCTGTTTGTCATAATCAGCCTCGTTGAAATATGGTTTATCGTTGAGGACGAGAGCTTGAAGGGATAGGAGGACTTGAAGAATGGTGGAGCTATCTGGATTCCATACTTCAGTGCCACTGCCAGCCCATGTATTGAGAAGGCTGAGACAGATCTTTCCAGATTCATGCAGGTTTGGATTTAGTTTAAGTCCGCCGGAGTGGTAGTGAACAATCTGGGTATGAGATTAGTAGATTAGATTGTTTCAAGGTTTGTGAGTTCTCTCTAATAAAAATAATAAAGATGATATTCTCTATCATACAAAATTGCCTTCTGAAAACAGACACTCAGGTTAATCCCAGTTCAATGAAAAAAAAATGCATTTGCATACATAACAAACAATTCTTATATACTTACATATCTAACACCTATACTTTTGTATTTACATGCATAATACTCAAATCTTTGACATAATATAAAAAATACCACTATCACTAACTTTTTAAATATGAAATACACCTATTTCATTGGTTGTTAATATCATAGTGTTATAAATTTAAACATTATATTTTAGGAGTTAGATATGTAAATGTGTAATAATTGTGTCGTATGTTGTAAATTTCCAAAAATAAGTTACATCAGTTCAAGCTTCACTAATATGAGAGACAAAAAGGGGGTGGCCAGATTTAGCATGGATTGGACAGGCGTGAACATTCAGCGTGGATCAAACAAAAATGTTATAACAGTTCAAAGTTTAGGTGTTAGATATGCAAATGTGTAATAATTTTGTCGCATGTAAATTTCCCAAAATAAATTACATCAGTTCAGGCTTCACGAATATGAGACACAAAAGCGGTTGCATTTAGCATGGATTGAACAAAAAAGTTGTAACATTTCTTAAAGATGAAGTAATTTCCGGGAAACCAGCAAACGTATTTAATTTACAAACATATATTCATGGAGGAATATTTTCAGAGGTAAGATATGAAAATCTTACAATAGATGTATATACTATCATCTTTTGATATGATTGGATGGGATATAGATAAACTCAATGCCGTAAGCCAGAATATTTGGAAGAAAGTTAGAATCTGCTATTTGTTATGCACTAACCCATTCTAGTTCTTCGAAATGTTTAAAAATAAAATCTAGTCTACCAGAATGTCATAATAATTGGGTGAACCGGACAGACATATTTACAAAATTCACTGTTAAGAACTCACAGAATTACGAGTCATTAAGGTTCGGCAAATACACTTATACTCCAAAAGAGTTGGAAGACGATAAGATTATAATTTCTATAGAAATACAAATAGATCATTGAAAGTATCTATATAGATTACAAATGGAGATCGAATCAAAAAATAAATTATTATAATCATATTTTAGTTCGAGAAACTCCAACTGAAAAAAAATCTTTATGAATCAAATTCTTACATATTCCTACTTCTATAGTTTTACATATTATATAAAAAATAAAAAATTAGTAAAAAAATTATGAAGCTAAATTTTAATTATCCACAAAAGTTTAATCCAGAAGTAAAATAGTGGTGGGCCCCTTCAAAGTTTTCATGAAGAATCTTTACTTTAAGAAGTGGAAAACTTTGTCACCTCAAAGGTTCTTTATGCTAATAGAAGTGCTTTTATTTCATATCATAGCTTTAATTTATTCCACTTAGTGGAAACTTTTTAAAATAGCATTAATCCAAATGTTGGGAAGTCCAATATGGCTTGTAAATTTGATGTCAGTATCGTGGCTCTATACATAAAACTGTAATAGATTGTGATATGTATATGTATAAATGTATATAAGAGTGAAATTATGTTCTCTAAGTGAGCAAGATAGTGAGTGTGGGTGCTTGAAGACATCAAATACGTGTTTTAAGACATTAATATAAGTTTTTAAATTTTCATCTCTATAAGTACTAATATATATATATATATATATAGATATATAGTATTTGCTTTAATCGCTGTATTGCTTTATTTAAATTAAAAATCATTTTTCTTAGGTTCTCTAATTTCAATCTACTAATAGACCTGTACAGCCAAATTTGTTTAACTCGTTCATAGATATATAAGTAATTTTAAGAGTCGACTGCTTAAGTGAGATTTTGTAAGGAATTGAATTAGAGAATCTAAATATCAAGATTAGATTTTAAGAGATAAAAAATTTTGATCGATTAAAAACAAATTATGTTTGTTATTATTATCATACCTTATTCTAGATTATATTATCCTGTGGTTTATTTAATCTTTATAAGAAATGCAATTTTTATATATTATAATAATTATTTTTTTAATTAGTTTATATATAAATATTCTTTGAAGTAATATATTGTCTAAAAAACTGAGAACGTGGCTACTGGCTCGAAAAACGTTCACATTATTTCTCTGGTATAACGACACAT